CAGGAATGTGAATGTTAATACAAACCCTTTCAATGGTGCATCAATAAAAAGAAAACATAAATATGCCCTTTCTTCAAGGAAATCAAATACATGACTTTTGTCCTTGTTTTAGGTTTGATGGAAGTGAAAACTTCTACCGCAACTGGGTCGAATTTCAGCAAGGTTTTGGTAATGTCAGCCTTGAACACTTCATTGGACTTGACAACCTTGCCAGTATCCTGAAGCAAATGAGTTATAAAGTTCGATTCGACTTAACACCATGGCCATCTAGCAATCTTAACCCAGCCACTGGATTTGCGGAGTATTCCACATTTAACATGGCTGATGTGAGTGATAAATACCGTATTAATATCGGTGGGTATTCTGGGACAGCAGGTGATGCAATGGCATATCAAAATGGACGGCAATTCACAACATATGATCAAGACAATGACCCCTATGCTAGCAACTGTGCAGTGACGTTTAAAGGGGCATGGTGGCATAATGCATGTCATTACTCAAACCTGTTCGGGATATATGAGCAAGGACCACGTTGTCATGCAAATGCTGCATGCGTATGCTGGGCGCAATATCCAGGAACTGGCCATGGGTATTCATTCAATAAAGCAGTTATGAAGTTACATCGTGTTTAGAACTTTAGGTCAAAGTACGGTCATGCTTCATGATATGCGATATGATATTATAATAATGTGATGCAGCGCTTTTATGCTGCAGTATTACAGGCGTATGACATTTGTCCACTACACATTTTAGTAAATCAAAAACTTTTCGAACAGCTCAAAATCTTTCATGTGAAATATAATTTTAGTATATTAAGTAAATAGTAAGTTTCCTCACCCCCCTATCACACCAAACTAGTTCTTACCCGTTCTTGCCAGTCCTACGAAAACATCGTAAAACGGGCCCAATCTGGCTGTGGTCGGGGAATATGTCTAAAATAATTAGCTACTTCGTTCATAAACAGTCTTCAATACGTCCATCATTCGCAGTTCGTTCAGGTCGCATCACGTCGGTGTACAACGTCCTATAACGCGTCCCTTAGTCTAGAAGGTCATCATGACCTGATTACAGAACGGTATGGTCGCCTTGAATCGATTCAAAATTCTAAATCACATTCCCCGTCCGAGAAAGTCCATGAAGTTCGTAAACAGACCGTAGAATGTTGTAGCTACGTTCATTTAGTTCGCACACAGTTTAAAACCGACTCGGCAACGTTTTGAAGAACGCAGTGACAACTGGTTCTGGTGTGATAGCTATTTTTGTTAATTCGTTCATAAGCAGTTTTTAATACGTTCACCTCGTCTTTATTCCGTCTACAGTACATCGGTATTAAGTTTAGATCGGGTTAAATTGTGAGTTCGTCTCGTCTACACAACGTATCCAAGCAGTTCAATTACGTCCTTAATCAGTTTAAACCAGTTGACAATTAGTTGTACCTCGTTCTCAATACGTCCTTATATGTTACTGAATTATCCACCAAATTTCCATACGGTTGAACTCGTTCTAAAATAGTAAACATCGTGTCCCTAATCCGTGCAGAACGCATTTTAATCCCCTATTTTCCTGATTGGGGTACTCACGGCTGCAGTGCTGCAGTGCGTCCAGGTCGTCTTAAGTACGTTGTCACTCGTTCTGATTGCAGAACGTGACGATCACCAGAACATTTTGAGCAGGCTCTAAGTTCTGGAGGCCCTGCTCGTTCGAGTTGTTTCATGAAGTTTGTAAACAGATCCCAAACGGTTCTTAGTGGGTTCTTAGTTCGTCAAATCTATCCGTGCACTGTTTTCGAGAACGTAGTGAGAACTAGTTAGGTGTTATAGTAGGGTTATTTCAGGGGTGGATCAGTGAACTTCTATATTTGAATATGTAGAATAATTGATGTAAATAAGTTTTTCTTTAAATTTCGAATACCATATTTGATATACAAATAAGCACATCATTTTCACAAATAAGTGACACTTTTCAGGTTTTTTTGTATAACATTTTCCTTATATTTTCAAGTTATATATAGTAAATAGTCAAGTATATATGATAAAGCATTGCCTGATAAGAAATACAATTATTGCATATTTTGAAAATCAATATGTAGACTAATGACCCAAAATATGATGTTTTATAGCTGTAAAAAGCATTTTACTAAAATTGGAGCTATGTTTAACGTTCCCATCTTTGATTGACTTAGTACAATCAATTCCAATTACCGAGCTTCGCAAATACTACCCGGGAAATATCCAGAGAGTCCTGTTTTGACACTCATTTGTATCATTGTACATAAAGTGCTCACTGCAATACATTAAAGATAAAAAATGCATTACTTTTAGTTAGAAAAATACACACTATTTCGTCACTTCCAGCGAACCAGACATCCCAGCTGGGGCTGTACCCTTCGGGCCTTGCACCAGTCAAAGATTGTTATCATGGCCTTTTCATCATGGATTTGTCATTGCCTTTTTGAACACATTTCTTATGAGTGATTCCTCAAGAACCAAATGGAACTGAAAAAAGGCTTACTCGCCCGTTTCATTGTTAATTTGTTAACCCGGATGTGGACGGTTTATGGACGATTCCCAATTGAAAAAAGCCTATGGAAAATCATCTCCAATTATCACCTAACTTACTATTGATAATTAGTTGAAAGTTAGGTGTAAAAATTCACATGCAAATGAGCTAATTATCAACTTAATTAACGCTTAATTTGCAACTTAATTAACGATTAACTACCATCAATATGCAAATGAGCTATTTACGTAAATTAGTTGAAATTTAGTTGTAAGTTTGATGTAAGTTAAACTCTAATTATCACCTAACTTACTATTGATAATTAGTTGATAGTTTGGTTTAAGTCAGTTTTGTGACATCTCAAAAATGACTTTTTTGCTTCCCTTCAATTGGAGATTTTTGCTTCATCTTGAACTATTTTGTGACGAAATATTCATCTTAATTAGGATCTTTCAGAACAGACAACATTGAACTTGAACTATTGAAATTTCACAGCAAGAGGAGGGAAAACCCCATGATTTAATTGATGACATACGATTTCCTCCTTCGCACACCTCCTTTTGTCGAAAACATACCCTCCATCTTGGTTTTCAAAGTTTTCAAATTGACCTAGTTTTAAACCAATCAACGATCGACTCACTTAACCAATCAGCGACGATGTCATCTCAATACAGATTTACATTATAAGCGTATGTCATCTTTGAACCCTGGGGTTTCTCCCCCTCTTTTTTAAAGCTATTCTATTTTGCAAATTTTTAAGATTCATGAAAAGCATGTGAAAACATCATTATTGCCATCAACAACTAAAATCAGAACACAAACATTAGACTATAATGTTACATAATAAGGACGTAACAGATATAATCAAAATATGTTTTGAAATGTCTTTGATCTAACAATCATTATTTAGAAGAGCACATTTGGATTACTTGTGAAATATACAGTAGGTAACCCATGTTAGTACCTAAATTGCATTCTAGGATTGATATTATATGATCTGATTCAAAAAGATTTTTAAATTCATAAACATTTCAGACAGAAGTGTGAATAAGGTTTAACATACATTGTATTCATGTTCTACATACCCTTATAATAATGTTGACCAAATTTCATGGTAGTATACGCACCATTCACGTTGTAATTCTCAATTTTATGAGAGAAATATCTCTCACATGTTTTCTTTTTCCACCATCTTGAAATTAAATTTAGGGGGTTTGTATTTCTAAATCATGGGCCTAATTTACGACTAATTATCATTATAATCAACCTATATGTTAACTATCAACCAATAATCTACTTCAGAACAAAAACGTTTTAATTTACCACTTACTTTCACCCTCAAACATTTCATATCTTAATTATCAACTAAAAATCATAAATCAGCATTATTGTAAGTTAATTTACGTTGAACTTGCTACTGATAATTAGGCCATAATTACCATTGATTTAATTAACGCTTAACTTTAATTCCAATTGCCAGCAGAATTGTTGATAATTAGTTGTAAATTAGTTGGTAATAAGTTGGTAATTAGTTTTATTTTTCAATTGGGTTAATTAAAGTGCCTTTTCCATTGTGTTTTGAGAGGTTCATCCCCTCCCCGGGGATTCACTTTTTATAGGCCTAAACATTGACGGGGATCCGCATCTAGACTACCTTTTTGACATTTGGCGATGGACCCAAATTTTATGACTTTGGTCATGAGAATGCCCCCCCCCCCCCCAAATCATGACTTTTGAGGTATGTCAGTGGTCAGACTTTTCTCATTAGATGTTGGCCAGATCGTTTTGTAGCCTAGGATCTCATGGGCTCATATCCGGATATTACTATTTTTGCACAGCCATCTCACTGGCAGATCTGGGGGGGGAGGCCAAGGGGCCCGCCCCCCTCCCTTGGGTGGGCCCAGAAAAAAAATTGGGCCCAAAAAAATGTTGAGCCAAAAAGTGGGCCTTTGGTCATAAATGGGCCTTCTAAGGCCTTAATTTTTAATTTTAGACCAAATTTTGAAGAAAATGGGCCTAAAAATTTCAACATTTAGGCCCATTTTTTGGTTTTAGGGGCCCACATTTTTTTCTCAAACCAGAGGTTTGCCCCCCCCCCCCCCTTGTTGGTTCCCAGATCCGCCCCTACATCTTCCTATTTCGGGCGTTGGTCCCATTAGTATGGCATTGGTCTTATATTTGGACATTTGGTATCGCTTTTAGGCGTTGTTTTGGTTGGTATAGGAACACATTGAAATTTGACTGATTGATATGGGAACATATTGAATTATTGATGTCTGAGGGTTCAGTCATCACATTTTCTGATAGATGGCAGCATGCACTAATTCATGTAAACACAGTCCATTTTTAATATTTCTCAAAAAAATAGTCAACCATCAATCATTCATTGCACAATGGATCTGAATTATATCTAAGTAAACAAACATTTCAATATTTTCCATAGATTATATCCATTTGGTGTATTTTTAACCATTTATAAACAATTCGCTTATGGAATGTGTGTTTCCGGTCAGAAGTGCGGAACAAAGATCTTTTAAAATTGATAAATAAAGGTAAACTATTGCATATTTACGATGTTTCATGCATACTTATATAAGCTAATGTAAATATCGTTTTATCAGGAATGCAAAATGATCCCATTTATCTGTCTTGAAAAGGGATTCTTTGCATAAAACCTGTTTTGTAATTTGACCTAGATTTCACCGGCGCGAAAATTTCCAAAAATAACAATCTACCTCGTGTTTGCCCACACAGACGCATATAATGATCGTTCTGATCCTATTTGTTATTTCAGATTTTAATTTTGCAGTTATCAAGAAAATCTAAGCAAAATCCCTGTCTCTTTTCTGAAGTGCAATTCCAGCGTGCAATTTGAGTGAACAAACAACAATGGGGTCTAACGTATTAACATCCCTGATACAGGACGCTATCTTAAAACTTTGCACACAGCATGTTACATTTGATGCGTCTCTGGAAATAGATGGAATAATATGTATTACACCTGGACAGGATGCCAAAGAAATAGTCGTGAAAATGCACAGAACAATTATGAAGCCTGTAACACAGCCAGACCAGTATGCTCCTGAAATGGATACTAATCCCAGTACACCTTCATCAACATCATCAGCGACACCTCATAAACGTCAAAGAAATAGACAGGGTCGGGATATTGATCCAAATGCATACCCCCAAAACGTAACATCTAATGTATCGTTTGATGAAATGCCAAAGCCCAGTATTTATGATGAAGACTCGGGGGGTGGGGGCTATTACAATTCGGAGCAGCAACAACAATATGGTAAGTACATACAGTAGAGTGCTATTATGTCACCACCATATGTAGTGACACATTGTTATGATCTCCAACTTTTTTGTGGATGGTGTTCAGCGTTTTGCTGTCAGCTTTTGGCATCTGTAGCAAATGACAGTTGGTGACTTTTTGCATGTTAATGCTTTATGAGTAGGTTATATTTGATGGAAGTTTAATGCAGCCAGTCACTGCATTCCTTTGAATATGTATTTGGTGTCAGGTCTAACATATAAAAGTTCAGTCAAATTATTTAGTGAAACAACAACGCTATATTCCATGTTCCTCATGTCAGAAATGGAATAAAGCCTACTTACACAGGAGTTTCATTAGCAGCAGACAATATGGGATTTTCACCAGTTGTTTTCACAAAATCGCCTGTTGCTAGGCACTTTTTAATGTTAAATTCATGATTTCTATTATGAGAAATTCTAGTGAAACCTCTGTTATATTCTCTTATTTTTTACAGCGACGCCTGATTCTACACCAAGTAAATCAAGAAAAAGGCGCGCTGCTCCAGCCCCAGAAGCTAGCACGGAGGAGAAATATATCAAAGTAGAACCTGGAGAAAGTGAAATTTTAGTCGAAGAACCAACAAGCGTGACACCAGGAAACAGTAATGACGGATACACAGACCCGAATCAAGGTTGGTATATTTTTCTTTTCATGAGGAAAAAGTACAACGATTCACATTCCTTTCGTTTTTTATTTCTGTTCCAAGTGAGATGTCACATAATGAATTGATATTGGCATTCACTAATACGTTTCCTCTTGGATGAATTTGAAAGTGCTAATTAATCTGGAAAAAGTATTTGATAACAGTATTCTTTTAATCTCCTTTTTTGAAATTAAATTGATATCATTAATCGCAGATACATTTCTTCTTGGAAAATACGTAGCCTGAAAGTTCTAAATCCAATCTGGAAAAAAGTAATTAACAATCATGTTTGAATCTTCTTTCAATAATAAGCACAAATATAGTTCTTGCAAACTAATTAGATTGTGTGCTATCCAATTGGAAAAAAAGTATTTCATTTATAACAGTATTTTTTAATCTCTTTTCTTCCAATGATAACTTGATTTTGGCAAACACAAATACATTTATTTATTCCTAATTATATTTTTTTCTTGCATCTTATTGTTTTAATGTTTCGATTTCTGTTGAGCAGTATAGTCACTTATAAACAATGAAATGAAATGTTTGAAATATCAGCGTGAAATATGAATTTTAGTTTCAGATTTTGTAGATCCAAACATCACACTTTGGCGATACAAGGTATTTTGAGTGGCCTGTCAATTCTATAGATAAACACAATCGGAACGTTAAAATATACACAAACACACAAGAAATCAATTCTACTCTTTTTTTCTTTGGAATGTGAAACTTGTACTTTTTCCATCAAAGGAATGGCATTCAAAAAATCTAATAAAAATGAGGGAGAATCTGAAATAAAGGAGAATCTGAAAATGAGGGAGAATAGACCTTCTTGTCATTATTAGTTGTAGGTGCTTACAAATAAGATTAGCAAATTATAGCATAGCCTTTCACTAATTTTGAAAACCTCTTAGAATTTTGTTTTTACAAATTGATACCATATTGAATCTGGCTTCTGTATTCCTAACGTAGTGTTCACATGGTTTGATGGAAAGATATGTTGTTTGTTGTTACTTAAATACCTAGTTGTTAGTTTCTAGAATCAACATTAGGTGGCTTACTCAGATATTATGGCAGATAATGCAGAAAGTTCTTTACATTCCATTCACGGAAAAAACTAAAAACATGTAACAAACTGCAATTTGTTGATTTTAGGTATGATTCCAAAATATTTAGTCACAAAAATCAGATTTTACATAGACATAACCATATTTGGCTATTTCTTGGGTCTGTCTGAAATGTATTGTGACACTCTAACATTACCTATTAAAATTCAGTTATGACTTCTTCATCAACTAAGTTTAGGCTGGATATGTTGAAATTAAAATGAATTATTCCAAATGAAGATAGGCCTAATGTCATTTTAGTAAAAATAAATAGCAAAAATTATTGCTATATTTCTATGTAAATATGAAATACCTTATTCTCTGTAATTACCGCCCACCCTCTAATAAGCGCCCACCCCACTTCACAAAGTCCAGAAATATCAAGGAACCAATAAGAATTGAAGAATCTATCAGAAAAAATCATATTTCCGAAAATCCATGAGCGGGCGGTAATAGAGTACTTACCCTAAACTGCTGCAAACTCAAAGCGTTTTATAATTCTATGCATCCTCTCGATAAATATCTATCGATGGGTGCTTCCCACACCATACTATGCTAATATTGTCTCAGAATAAAACATAATGAATGAAGGAATTGTTCTTTATCAGCATTCAGTAATTTTGAAAGCTTAACTGCGCAGATGTTCTGCGCAATTGTCAAGGTAATGAACAATCTGGTTTCTTTTTAACATTTTTACAACTTTTGCATGAAAAATGATGATCTCTCATCAAATTAAAAATAAGGTATCACTTTAGATCGATATCCAACAGTCTCTAGTGGAAATATTGAAGGTTATCCGTGATAAGACAAAGTGGGCATTCTGAAAATAAATTAGACATAGACGGGTCTTCAATCACTGGCAATATTGTCTAAGCGATCTTTACTGTATTCTCTCCAATAACAATACTTATCATTATTATAAAAGTATGTTGAAATAAGGCGCATGCTTAGCAAGAAAAATTGCCATACATGAAATCCCTCTGGATTTCTGATTTCTTTCATATTTGGGCACTTATTAGAATTGTCTGAATGATGTATTTTCAATTTTCTAAATGCCCTGGGCACTAATTACAGAGAATATGGTACCTGTTTTTAAGCACACTATAAAATGTCTTCGGGAAAATTTTATTGTAATGCTTCGGTACCACAAAATCAATGGCACAAACAAAAGTATTTCTGCTTTTAACAAACCCCATTCTCTTACAATTCGTAGCACCAAAGTATACATTATGATCAGTTTTTAAGGCAAGAGATTGGTTAGTGCTAATTTATTTCAACGTTTTGACAAAAAATGAGCATTTCTTTCTCAAAGAATCATTGACCATTATATGAAGAGATAACTTTAGTATCACTACATCTCAACATTTCATCTGAAAACGATATAGAACTTCTCAAATCTTATAGGAAGCAGGTCATTTTTTGAAAAGTGATAATTTTCATGAAAATCATCGTATTTTCCACAACTCCACCTCAGTCATCTTGAAATATTGATTAGATTGAAAATCTTAATACATCCTTCAGACACATCAGTTTCCAAAATCAATGAAAGACTTCAGAGAAATTAATTTTTTGTTGAAATTGTATGAAGAGCTCGGTGTATGGAGTTTTCAGGGCATCGGACATTCACCTGTTGAACTCTAATTCAGACTAAGGGAAATCAATGTATGTGGATTGAAACTTAGTTTCTCTAATGCAGACAGTTCAATTTCTTAGTCCTTAACATCATAAAGACATAAAAGAGTTGCCTACCTTGTAATATCACACAAAGCCGTGAGAGTGACCTGAAAGTGACTCGATCTGTATATAGGTGCAGATAATTGAGTGAGAGTGTGCTCGTCTGCTTCATGAGCCTCATTGTGTGTTTGCGATATACCTAATCTTCAGATTCTTCATTTTCCTTACTTGTATGAATTGACTTGATTCTGATGTATAAAAATATTTTAGCAAGTTGATATGTTTTGGTTATGTCCTGTGATCCCAGAGATCAGCATACTCAGCCATGTAAACAATATATCCCTTTATCTCATGGACACCTCAATACCAGATACTTACCATGACAATTGTCTCTAGCAAAGCAACTGGCACTGAAAAACTATTTTACTGATGCGAGAATTCTCCAAAATTACAAAGATATACGTAATTTCAAAACCCATGCTGTGTGATAATTTACACTCTTTTGTTTTTACATCAAAGGGAAATGTTTGGTTCTGTAACATGTGTTATGACCTTGGATAGCAAGTTGTGTTGACTCAAGTTTTGAAAGCGCAAGTGGTAGAGCTTCAGACTCTTGTGTGGAAGGTCCTGCATTCGATTCCCATATTGGGCATTGAATTTAGCACACTCCCTTTCAGGTCTGTCTCTGGCTTGTTACACTACAGCTCCCCGGACAAATCGTCGGTACAAATATAATGTTTCACGGCGTGGTTTGGTTTCTAAAAAGAACACCTGTTCACTTTGCGGCAAAGTGTACACCAGCAAGGAAAATCTGTGCTGCCACATGAGATCAACCCATGACGCAGAGTTACTCAAATGTCCACAATGTGAAGTGAAAGGTTTCATAACCAAGGACGCTTTAAAGAGACATGTGGACAGTAAACACAGACACATAGTATATGTATGTAATCCATGTGGCGTACGTTTTGAAAATAAAAAGACCCTGAAAGAACACCAAAAAGGACTTCATGAAAAAGAAAGATATCTTTGTCCTTTATGTGGGAAAAAGTTTAGATGGCGTGCGTCATTGAAGAAGCATAGGCATGTACATTTGTGACTTCTCTTTGACACTAGAAGTATCTCCTCTCATGATCTTTCAATTTTGTACATAGACATTGTGCATTTGTGACTTGTCTTTGACACTTCCTGTATTATATATTTCCAAGAATTGACTTACATTTTTATGTATTTTTTGAGGATCAGTAACAGTATTTATAATGAATAAAATACCTTACTTTAAAGTGTGTATGTTTTATAAAATAACCCTGCTTATTAGTTGCTTTATGCCAGAGTACAATTCATTAGTTAGGTCACCTGACTTTTGCAGTCAAACATATCTTTGCCAGAACTTGATATAATCCAGGGACAAGTACCACATGTTCTATTTTTTGCCAAATCTAAGCGCAAATACTGGTACCAGAGGTAAAGGACCAAAAACTGTAAAGAAAACCACCAAGAAAGCAAACTCTAAGTGTAAACCTGTCATAAGAAAAATAAACCCATATATCCCAAAAACCATGATCTAAAGCGAAAAGAGCTAGATGAAAACGTTGTACTAAATGAAACATTCAATTTTTGGAAATGGTTTATGATGGTTTTTGCATGGAATGTCCCATAGGTGAAAATATTGTACTGTGTAAAAAAAGTTAAAGTGATCTAAGTGACAGTTTTATTACATCTACTTATTTATAAGAAGTATGTAATTGCTATTCATAAAAACTTTGGCTTTCAATTTGGTACTTGTTCTTCAAGGCTTACAATGATAGACTTTCTAAAACATTAACATCTACAGTATAGTACCTCTGTATTTATGTGCAATAATCAAATAAAATATTTCTACACATGGACGTAATAAAACTTTTTGTTGAAGTCTTTCATTAATTTTCGAAACTGAAGTGTCTGGATGATGTCTAACAATTTTACTGTTAATCTATTCAATATTCCACAATTGTTGAGCTGAAATTGTGGAAAATATGAGGATTTTTTTTGAAGCATTATATTTTTTTCAAAAAATTGTTGGGGTGTCTAGAAGATTTGAGAAAATTGTTATCGTGTTCAGAATGAATGTTTAGACAAAGTGGTACCAGACCTATCTCTACATAGAATGGTCAATGGTTCTATGAAAAAGAGGCTCATATTCTGTGAAGACAAAAATAAATAAGTACTTACAAA